ACCTTTAAGGTGTACCATCTGGTACGCCCAGAAAATATAAATGTAAGAATCCACACTTCTCGGTTTAAAATATTGAATTCTTAAAAATTTCAATACATTGTTTTACAGGAAACGAAGTAATTAAAGATTTTTTGTTTTTTTCCCGAAATGTAGAAGTCAAGTTAATAAAAGCACTTGCGGAGAAACCATTTCTGAACCAATTTATGCAAATCGAAAACTTATGTAAGCTAGAACTTTGGTTCAATAGCAAAACAGAATATATCCATAGGTGAATCCATACACTCACTAAGACAGATCTCAGTTTGAGAGGTTCTAAGATTAAATGAAGCTTAAAACTCAACCAAATGCAGTCCGCGAAAAACCCAAATTGATGATCGAACCAGATCCCATTGCTTGGCCGCAAAAACTCTTTCCAACAAGCAACACCTGCAGACCTGCAAAGATGCAATTATGTGACCCTTTTTCTTATCAATACTAACATACTGACCAGCCCAGAAGAAAATCTCAAGGGCAAGCAGCGAAGATGTAGTCTGATCCCTACTGCTTGGTATTTTTGCCACGAGCTGCAAGTTTTGCTGCAACCTGTTCTTCTGACAAAGGCAAGTAGTAGATCCGAGGAGTTGCTTTAGTTTTCCGAAACAGGTCATCCAGAGTTACAATAGGTGGATCTAATTTCTCTGGAGGTGGTGGTGGAAGAGGGAGTCGTTCTCTCACTGGTGGTGGGTTAGACAAGGATGGTGGAGGTGGGAGAGCAGAAGGTGGTGGAAGCTGCTGCCTGGAAACCTGCTGACGAGGGGAGGGCTGGGGCTGGGGCTGGAGCTGCATAGTGGATTGAGTTGGAGCAGCAGTTTTGGAGGCCCCAGGTGTGGTTGGAGTTTGAGGGGGTGCCTCCAAACGAGTTTTTACTTCCTGAGGTTCAACAAACTCAGCAACTAAAAGTCGTCCGCCATTGGGTGGCCATTGTAGGTTATAAACAGCATTACGTGTCTCTATGGCTTCTTCCACGGAGGAATACTGCATTTCCAAGTAAGATTTAGTTCAATTATCCAAAAACTCACAGATAAACAAAAATTCCACATATCAAAATGGCTTCATGAAAAATAGTCTTTGCATGGTTCCATGAGAGAGGATTTAGAGAGAGAGAAGGCTTACTGTAACATAACAATGTGTCTTGATATGGTCCATCCAGAAACTGGTTACAGTTCCAGTTTTACCTAAAAGCTCCTGCACAGCTTTCAAGGTAAATGGACGCAGAAAACGATCAATCCTCAGGGAAGTGGTTGGAGGTTTCTGAGATGGTGGAACTGCACAAACAAGAAGAATCACACAGAAAGTTTTTAGATGCTAATAAATGATAAATAAACCTCATTATAGATCTGAATGAAAGAGCAACTTACCAACTCTTTCTTTTGGTGCATCATCACTAGCCGTTGAATCAGATCTGGAGAAGTTACGTTTTAAAGCAGGAGGCTGAAATGCATCTTTAGGTGTGGTAGTGGGTGTATGGTTTTGTCCTTGCAGCTCTGGAACTTTTATATTTTCAGAGTTCCATCTGCGTCTTTTAGAAGGTTCATTGTTTCCAGCAGCTTCTTGATCTGTAAAGATGGCAAGCATGTAAAAACTACCCCAATTATAAAGCTTTTAGACTTCGAATTCATTTCCAGTATACAATATAATCCTAAAACTCATCTCTTAACAACACAGCAAACTCAATGCTATAAAATATACCAGGAAGATTTATATTCCAGGCAGCTACAAAAATGAATATATGTAGTGACTTTCCAGCAAATTTAAGTACCTCTTTAGCAACCAAAAAAAGTGGTGGTTCCAAGGATTAATGCCCACCCACCCCAGAAACTCCCTCCACATCATGTACAGGCATTTGAACACAAATTGTACAGGTGACATTAACAACAATTGGAAAAAAAAAAAAGAGGAGTATGTCTGTCATGTAAAAGCTATCATTATCCAATGACCTTTGCTTCAGAATTGCCACCATCAAATTAAGAAAACTACAGAATCATGCAGCTAAATACAAAGTAATCTAAATGCACCCGTAAAGTGTGAGTGCAATGCTTACCTTGAAGCTTTCTTTTCTCAGCAGGTACAACTGGGTGACTCCTATTCTCAACAAAGATTTCCCTTTTTTCTGCAGACAAACCATCTCCCACAACATCTACACAACCTTCTTCCCCCACATTTTTATCAATCTTATTTCCCACTTCATCTGTGTTACACTTTGAATCAACTTGTTTAGTCTCAAGCACATCCTCCTCCATAGAGTCATCACCAGAACTTCTGTCTAAATTTAACTTTTCTGAGTAAGCCAAATCAGCATTTGCAGTATTCTTGTCATCTCCCTCTTCAACAGATGTTTTCTTCTCAAGTGGCTCCTCCACATCCATAGGATGTGCTTCACCACTAACTGGGACAACATTGCTGGATGATGGTTCCACCATCTCCGGCTTAACAATATCTAGTTCTAATTTGACATTATCAGCAATTATATTATCCTTTAGTTCAATCTTTTCATTAATTGACACAGAATCAGTAGAAATAGAATCAGATTTTACTTGAAACCCTAAAGTAGGGCTGACCTCAGATACCTGACTGTTTGGAGGAGAGTCGCGCATGTCATCACTGTGTGATGGCTTCAAACCCTCACGCTCCTGCTGGGGCTTTGAACCCTCACTCTCCAGCTGGGTCTTTGTATCCTCTTTCTCCAGCTGTGGCTTTGGATCCTCGTTCACCAGCTGGAGCTTTGGATGCTCATTTTCCAGCTGGGGCTTTGAACTCTTAAGATCTCCCTGGTTTCCAGTGTTCTGCATAACCTGTGTGCTCAATGCTACTTCAGAAACCACAGTCTCAGTGACTTTCACCTTAGTCTCTAGAATAGTGGTACGAATAACAGGCTCTTGTTCCACCATAGCAGCATTGCTTTTACCCAATTCATCTCCTTGATTGTCCACTTGACCCAAGGCAGTAGCAGCACTTTCATTAATGTCAACTTGAGCTTTAGCCTTACTCTCTGTCTCAGTCTTGTTACCACCATGATACACGGTGCTTTCAACTGTGTCAGTTGTTTCTTTATATTTAACCTCAACTACTGGTTTGGGGTCATGATTGAGACCGTTATCCACATCCTTTTCAGCTAATTCCCTCTCAATGCGAAGCGAATCATCCAATCGTTTTACCAAATCTGCTTTCAAGCCTGAGATTGTCAATCTCCGCCTCTTCAGCTCTTCTTTCAACTCTGTGACCTTCCATTGATCAATTGGTCGATTATCAAGTATTGGATATTGAGATGACATCCTTTCCAGAAAAAACCTTCAAACCCAGATTAAAATATTATATTCCCTGCATAGTCAGGCACCATCAGAAAGTACACTAACCAAAACTCTAGTAGAACACACAGAGTAGGAGAGAAAACATGTTAATTGCAACAAGAGTTCAATTATCTCTCATAAGAGCAAGAATAGAACAGCAATTGAATGTAAAACTAAAATCATAAATAAAGCCCAAATAAATGCTTGATTCAGAAGCAACAAGAAAAGAACACAGAACCAAAATTAAAAGCATTTCTTCTAGGCTACCTTGCAACTCAAACACGTGCAGCTAAGTTTACAGACAACTCAGAAAGACCCAGCTTCAAAATTCTAAGCCCCCCCCAAAAAAAAGATAAGATAAGACAATGCAGCCATGCAGACGAACTATTAAAACAAATTTCTAACTTTCAAATGCCAGAAATTTTTTTAAAAAATCAAACAACAGCGGAGAATTGCAATCAAACCCGTTAAAGTAACAGCGGCAAGGAAATTACCGGAATCTTCCTTCGAAATGCGCAACAAGCCCACACTTCCTTAAGGGAAAGATGCGAAATTTTGAAACCCTAATTTCAACACACAAAACCCACCATTAGAGCAAGCAGAAAGGCAAAAACACATCAACAAAAGACACGCTAACCAGATACTTCTGAAGAACCCTGCTTCAAAGTAGAGCCCGTTTTTCTGGTTTTCAATTTCCTGAAAGCAAAAGAACGGAAAACGAAATGCATCCAATATATGGAAAAAGAAAGGGAAGGAAATAACAAATGCCGAAAACAGGATTCCCAAGAACGAACAATGAAATATTTATTCGGCGGGATTTCTAATTTTGGGAGATAAATGGGGAAGAATATGGATGGTAGCTTTTAGGGTTTTGCTCTGCCTCTAATTTAGCTCTGTGCGTTATGTCGAAAGGAAGAGGAAGCGGGTGTTCTTCTAGAAATACTGATATTTTTAATGAAATACCAAAACTACCCTCCTGGATGTGCGGGCCAGATCCATCCCCAACTCACGTGGTCTCTTTTTTTTTTTTTTTTTACTTTGTTTTTTAATTTTTTTTGTTTTTATTTATTATAATCCGAGTGTCATAATTTTTACATATTTAAAAATTAATTTAAAAAAAAATTTAAATTATTTAA